CAACAGAACTAAATATAGTTCAATTAACACAAATAAATATAGTTCAATTAACATAACTATTTTAGTTCAATTAACAAAACTATTTTAGTTCAATCAACAGAACTATATTAGTTCGATTAACAGAACTATTTTAGTTCAGAACTATATTAATTCAGAACTATATTCAACTAGTTCAATTAGTACAAAATCACCAGAAATTATATATGTTTAACTCAATATTAATATTAGAAAAAATAATTATTGGGCAATTAAAAAACAAATAATGTAGTGCAATATTGGTTATCTGTATTTTTCAATGCATCAATAAGCTACTGTTTTATTAGTTGCCTATTAATTTTATATTTTAATTTATTATAATTTAAAATGAACAATACCAAAAATCGTTTGTAAAGAGAATTTATTCAATAAAAAAATCTACAATTAATAACATGATACACTTAAAACAATCATTTCACTGGCACAAACTGAAAAAGTCTTTTAATTTTTCTTAGTAGAGCTTCCAAAAAGCTCTTATCCGACTCCGATCGATCCTGGAACAAAGAAAAAATATGTTTTTATTAATATTTATGTAAAGATTACCTCTAATTTTCCGTCCGTTCTGTCCGTTCCGTCTGTTCCGTCCGATCCGTCCGTTCTGTCCGTTCCGTCCGTTCTGTCCGTTCCGTCCGATCCGTCTGATCCGTCTGATGCCTTTATTATTTGAAGTAGTTGAGGTTGTTGGCATGTTGAAAAAGCAACCAAAACGCTGCTAAGGCTATCAAAATGTTGATCTAATAATAATTTGACGTTTATATTATTACGTGAAAAGCAACTTTTTTCCAAAGCCTACCATGACTTCACTGAATCATCGTTTCTTGTTCACTATTATTAATATCTTAATTATTAGATATTAATACATCTGATATTATGATATTCTGGTATATCGTCGATTTTAAAATAAACTAACTGTTTCTATCTTATTTTTAGGTTAGAATGGGCATAATCAAGAGGACTACTGATACTGTATTGTAAAAATAAGGTAATGAAGGGCTTATTTTTTGGTATTTATTATAATTTTGCTAATATCTTCGGTTTGAAAGAAGATATCTAGAAGCGGTTTTCGCTGACTTTTTAAGCTTTTACTACTCTTTACTGTCAGCTAAAACTACATATACTATTGCATTTAATTTTTTTGACAAAAGCGCAATGTTTGTTAAATAGTAAGACAAGGCCCCCAGCGTCTACGTTCAAAAGCTTATTATTATTGTTTATATGGTACAATATAGAGTAAGAAATGCTCGTTAGACGAGCCCTCGCTTGTTGGATTCCGGTCATACAGTCCAGAGTTAAAATAAATAAAAATATATCATTTCTGGTGATTTTGTACTAATTGAACTAATATAGTTCTGAACTAAAATAGTTTTGTTAATTGAACTATATTTAGTTCTGTTAATTGAACTAAAATAGTTCTGTTAATTGTGAACTAAAAATAGTTCTGAACTAATACATTTCTTAAACCAAACCAAACATAATAAAATTAAACCGTCTAGTTTTATTTTTGTTTATCTAACAACTTTACCAACTTCCTCTGAAGTGACATGGAAGGTTTCTACTGAAGTTTTAGTAACTTAAAACAAGGTTTGGTGTCTTTGTTCAATGACAGTTTCAGCAAACAGCTCTCGGAGACTGCATAGGTAAGTTTAATGTCGTAAATAAATTAGATGAATTATGTAACAGTTACATAAATATTAATACAAATATGTTTTCTTTGTTTCCAGGATCGATAAGAAGCTTTGTAAACTACTAAGAAAAATCATCTGATGCGCCAGTGAAATGATGTATCATGTTAATGAATGTAGGCCCACAATGATAAATCTCTTTACAAGCATTTTAGTATTAATCACACAAGTACAATAAATTAAAATATAAAATTAATAGGCAACTAATAAAACAGTAGCTTAGTAATGCATTTAGAAAATACAGATTATTATTAATATTAGCTAAAGCCTGCTAATTTCAGATTTTAACTAATTGAGCTAGTGAATATAGTTCTGAAGACTATAATTCTGAACTAATTTCTGTCAGCCACCGTCGTTTTGTAAAGAGAATTTATTCAATAAAAATCTACAATTAATAACATGACAATCATTTACTAGTTTTATTGAAAGTTTTTTAATTTTTCTTAGTAGAGCTTCCACAAAGCTCTTATCCGACTCCGATCGATCCTGGACAAAGAAAAAAATATATTTGTATTAATATTTATGTAAAGATTACCTCTATTTGTTATTTACTAAACTTACCTGTTTAGTCATCAAGAGCTGTTTGCTGAAACTGTCATTGAACAAAAACACCAGACCTTGTTTTAAGTTACTAATACCTTCAGTAGAAACCTTCCATGTGACTTAAAAAAAGAAATGTATTAGTTCAGAACTATTTTAGTTCAATTAGCAGAACTAGTTTAATTCGCAACTATACAAGTTGAACTAAACAGGAATAAATATAGTTCAACTAACAGAACTATTTTAGTTTAATCAACAGAACTAAATATGGTTCAATTAACAGAACTAAATATAGTTCAACAGAACTATTTTAGTTCAATTAACAAATGTAGTTCAATCAACAGAACTATATTAGTTCGAATAACAGTACTATTTTAGTTCAATCAACAGAGCTAATATAGTTTAATTAACAAAACTATTTTAGTTCAATCTTCATGCGAACTATATTAGTTCCTTCCCCTACGAGATGCGAGACCTTGACGTTGGTGGGAAAGCTCCCGGCCAGGGCACCGGAGGGGACCCCTCTTGCGCTCTGACTAGGTCAGGAGCATCTCTGTGTCTTGTCCCTGGCTGTAGTGTCTTGGCCAGGGAATTGCACCATGACATAAAACGATGCCGGATGGGACCTCCTTCGGGACTTAACATCCGTCATACCGTAAGTCTTTCTTAGGAGAGACATGGGGGCTTTGACTTTACTGTCTGAGCCGCGTGGATGAGGCACCACTATAAAAACCTCCCCAAATCCTACGGTATAGTGCGCGCCAAAGGGATGGATGGTCGGGGGAAACCCGACCACTAGCGACTAACCTGGGATACCAGGCGACCTCCCAGTTCATAAATGCCTAGTCACGGTATTGCGGGGCTCTGCCGTGATGGTCGTTTCTTTCCCTTGCTACTCGTGGGATCATTACATGGACCAGAAAAGTAATAACCCTAATGACGAGGATGGATCAAACCATCCCGATCCTTCTCCTAAGGAGGAGGAAACTAAGGAGCGTGGGACTATTCCTACCCCAAACAACTCACCTCAGCCGGATCAGGAAACAGAGGGGCCCAGATTCCCTTCGCCTGAGAAGGCAGAAGGTGAACCTCCTTTCGGGGTCTCCAAGCAAATGGAGAAACTGTCCCTAAAAAAGAAAAGGTTTGGACAAGAAAGCTCCTCTCAAGACTTCTCAAGGGCGGAATGCCTTATGAGACCGCTCTGCAGTAGATTCTTCAGCGACAAGCGGAGAAACAGAGGATACATATAAGTGGGGGTACCTCTTCCGGGAGGAGACAAATCAACCCGGAGGAGAATAAACCTCACACTGGTGCCCCTAATGCTAGCAAGCGCATCCGCTCGGATGCAAGCACGCTAGCATTCCGTCGCTAGCATCCCTTCTTAGCTGAACAGAGCGCTAAGAAGCCTTGTAGGGAGGGCGCAAGAAGCTACGTGGAGGCTGCTGGAGAAATAAAGGTTGGAGTAATCCGACCTAACCACCCAGAGAACAGCCTATCCGCCGAGCAACTCTTGTTGTTGAAACGTGCCATTTTGAAGGCCGTGGACGCAAGTACAGGTACGCTTCCAAGGCTGCTCGATTCGGCCTGGATGGCTGCTTGTAATCTGTGCCGACGAGACCAGCGCTGCGTGGTTAGAAAGGATGGTCAACGACCTTTCGCCATGGCAGGGCATGGGACTCAGGGCAGTAAGGGGGCGGGATATACCCAAGCCTCATGTCTGTACGGCTTACATTCCCGATGATGAGCCTGGAGAACGGCTCAGAGGGGATGTGGTGCTGAACAGACTTAAAATGAATCTTAGCCTGCTAACTCAGGAGTGGAGAATCCTCCACCAGAGTGATGCAGGGCCGGGACAAACCTGGACCTTTGCGGTTGACGTGAGATCCATGGATCTCCTTCGCCGCAACGAATTCAGGGCCTACTTTGGGTTTGAGCAGATTACCTTCCGACCCAGAGATAAGGAAAATGAAAGCAACACGGAGCAGACCAGGGCGTCAGTCTCGGGAGATGGTGGGGACCATCCTACAGCCTCTCGGGTAACAACTGACGCCACGAGGTCTGGCAACACCCAAAGGGAGAGAGCTGGAGACAAAGTAGTGGCACGGAAAAACCCGACCATGAAAGGGTCTAAAGCTAAACCCTCTGGAGCCTCGGGGAAGCCTGGCAACTCGAGTGGGAACAAACCCACCTGGAAAGGTAGGCGAAACGAATGTAGGTTTCCCACCAAAAGGGGACGTAGACCCCCTGATGGTGGGAGCAAAACCTAAATATGATTACTGCAGGGATGGCTGCAGCAGTCAAATGTATACAAAGTAACCTACAATATGCCAAGGCCGCTTCCAACGTCCTTGGCAGAAGGTTCAAGAAGGAAGGGGTACATCTCGCCTTCATTCAGGAACCTTGGGTTAACTCAGGCCGCGTATGTGGCCTTGGGGACGCAGAGGGTAGACTAATTACTGCCCCAGGAGTAACCAGACCTAGGGCATGCATTTTAGTAAAAAAGAGCGTGCACTTTTTTAACCTTTACAGGTTCTGCTGTCAAGATGTGGTGGCGGTGCATGTCCAGATCCCAGCCGGGAGGAGCGGAGGTGGAATGGAGTTTGTTGCCTGCTCAGCATATTTCCCGGGAGACAAGACAGCAGATCTACCTCCTCCAAAGAAAGTGAGAGAACTAATCTCCTTTTGCAAGAGGAAAAATCTACAGCTGGTGATAGGATGCGACGCCAACGGTCACAACTAGGCATGGGGAAGCACGGACACCAACTTCAGAGGTGAGTTAATTCTTAATTACTTAATAGGTGAAGGGTTAGTGGTTAATAACATAGGCTCCGAACCAACCTTTGTTACCTGTAACAGGAAAGAGGTTTTAGACATTACGGTCAGCTCCAATTATTTGAGCAACAGGATATCCAACTGGAGGGTATCATCTGAGCCATCGTGCTCGGATCATAGACACATACAGTTTGAAATAAGCGTAGGTGAAAGAACTCTCCTGCAATATAGGGATCCAAAGTGCACAGATTGGGAAGGATACAACCGCTCACTCGTGCATCTGCTGGAACCCACAATTGTAAAAGTGAGAGATCGCGATGAGATCGAGATTGCGGCGGAACAACTGCGGTGTGCAATCATAACGGCTTATAGTGAAAACTGTCCACTTAAAACAAACAAGGATAACAGGAAGTCCTCTTGGTGGAACAACAAACTGGACAAAAGAAGAAAAGAAGTGCGACAGCTCTTTAATCGCGCTAAAGTGTCAGGTAACTGGGAAACCTATCGTACGACGTTGGCGGAGTACAATAAGGAAATAAGAAGGGCGAAGAGAGAGTCTTGGAGAAGGTTCTGTGGGAGTCTGGCCGATCTACCCCAAAGCACCAGAATTCACAAGATTCTCTCAAAAGAACCAGTGAATGAGCTAAGGACGATACAGCGCCCCGACGGTAATTTCACAGAGTCCAGGAAAGAAACGCTACAAATTTTGGCCCAAAAACACTCCCCAGGCTGCCTGATTCTAGGTGATGAAGAACGACCCCCCAATACTCATGAGTCAAAAATCGGTCCAAAAAAGAGGATTGGGAGATAGCGAAGAAAGTAATCACCTATAGGGAGACAAAGGGGGCGATCGAAAGTTTCGACCTATTTAAATCTCCAGGAGAGGACGGGGTGTTCCCGGCCTTATTGCAAAAGGCTGCAAGCATTATCGTCCCTCGCTTAGTAAGGATTTTTAGGGCTAGTCTGGCGTGGTCACACATGCCAGCGGATTGGACGAAAGCAAAGGTGGTATATATACCGAAGGTGGGGAAACAAAACCTACAACCTGGTCAGCTCATATCGACCAATAAGCCTTACATCATTTCTGCTGAAGACCCTGGAGAAGGTGTTGGATGGGCATATTAGGGGAAGGATCCTTACGTCTAATCCCCTGAATGTCCGACAATATGCCTATCAGCAGGGAAAATCAACAGAACTGGCCCTCAACAATTTGGTGGGGGAAATTAAGAGTACCTTTGATCTAAAAGAAATTAGAGCGGTTAGACATTGAGGGAGCATTTAACAATGTTACCCCTCAATCGCTCCTAGGCGCTGTAAAAGCCCGAGGAGTCGAAGCAACCATAACTGAATGGATTGAGCAAATGCTCAAAAATCGAATAGTAACGACCTCGCTCTGACTGTTCTAAGCTTTTACTACTCTTTACTGTCAGCTAAAACTACATATATTATTGCATTTAATTTTTTTGACAAAAGTGCAATGCTTCTTAAATAGTAAGACAAGGCCCCCAGCATTTTCGTTCAAAAGCTTATTATTATTGTCTATATGGTACAATATAGAGTAAGAAACGCTCGTTAGACGAGCCCTCGCTTGTTAGATTCCGGTCATACAGTCCAGGTTAAAATAAATAAAATATATCATTTCTGGTGATTTTGTACTAATTGAACTAATAGTTCAAATAGTTTGTTAATTGAACTATATTTAGTTCTGTTAATTGAACTAAAATAGTTCTGTTAATTGAACTAAAATAGTTCTGAACTAATACATTTCTTAAACCAACCAAACAAAATAAAATTAAACAGTCTAATTTTATTTTGTTTATTCTAGCAACTTTACCAACTTCCTTTGAAGTGACATGGAAGGTTTCTACTGAAGTTTTAGTAACTTAAAACAAGGTCTGGTGTCTTTGTTCAATGACAGTTTCAGCAAACAGCTCTTGGAGACTGCATAGGTAAGTTTAGTAAATAAATAAACAAATTAGAGGCAATCTTTCGAGGGAAAAAGTAAGTATCGGTATAGCGTATGTATTGATTGCTTTAAAAGTGTTTCTTGAATTTATGTAGCTCTTTAGTATTTTATCTAGACGTTTTTCGTATTCTTCTCGTATTTGTGTTTTAAGCATAGTATGATCTAGTTTTATGTTTTGTTCCAAACCCAGATACTTATAAGTTTCTCCTTCCTGCATGTTTTCTAGTAGTTGCTTGTTGATTGTTTCGCATTTATTTATATCGTGCCATTTTCCTTTTTGTACATGTAACGCTTTACATTTACTAATTCCAAAATTCATTTTTATATCTACAGTAATTTGTTCTAGTATTTTAAGAAGCTCAGTGAATTGGTTCTGTGTTGAAGCATATAATTTGATGTCATCCATGGTGAAGATGGTTAATTTTATATTGTGTAGTTTTATTAGTTTTGACAGCAAATGCATATTGTGTTTTGTTGAGGGTGCGAGAAAAAGGACTAAGGCATAAACAACACCACAACGCACTCAGCGAATCACCTCGGAATATGCCCCGTTTAATTTTTATACTTCTAGTCTGGATAGTTTCCGTTTTACTACATAGATGGATTGATGTGTACCTCAAAATGTTTCTGATCTTTGGGTGAATCTTATATATTTCCAAAACTTGCTTTAGCCAAGTATGTGGCACAGAATCATAAGTTTTCTGGTAGTCGATGTAGCAGGTGTGAATATTTCTGTTTTCTTTCGTAGCTTGGTTCATGATTACTGTGTCTATGATCAGTTGCTCTTTACACCCCCGACTACTTTTTCTTTCATTCACAATGTGAAATAAAGATTATTATTATTTTTTTTTTCACTGCTCAGAACAGGTTTAAAGCTGCCTTATCGGTCCATGGGGACAAGACAAGGTATTATTGTTAATCACCTAGGAAGGAACGAACAATGTTAGCAGCATCAAGCAGCACAGATTTCTGCATTAGGCGGTAAATTTGGTAAAGGTTGTTCGTACCAGGCGATTTAGGGATTCCAAGTCTGTATGGGTCCATTTGACTATTCCAAAAGAATATGTAAGAACCGGTAGGGCGTAAGTGTTTATTGCTTTAAAGAGGTTCTTAGAATTCAAACCTGTCTTTAGTAGGGAGGTAAGTCGCAGTCGGAAGGCGGTCGATAGGCGGTTTTTAATAATTCCATGTTCTATTTTGTGTGTTTGTAGCATTCCAAGATATTTATACGGCTCAGTTGACATTGAGGAGATAATTGTTTTCTCATCTAGATTCAATTCTGGTGTTTCGCATAGTTTGCCTCTTATGATTGAAACAGTCTGACATTTGCTCGTACCAAAGGTCATTCCAACCAATAGTTGCGCTGATTTTATGAACGGTACGCAGAAGATCTTTAAGTTGGTTTTTTGTTGCAGCATATATCTTCAAGTCATCCATGTATAGTAGGTGTGTAATGAGATGACGTCTGTTTCTCGTTCGTAGTGAGAATCCATAACCTGTTTCATTGATTATCCGCGATAGTGGATTTAAGGCTAGACAAAACCAAAGGGTGCTAAAAGAATCCCCTTGGAATATCCTCTACAAATTGGAATTTTTGGCGATGTTATGTCAAAGGAAGCAGACCTGAGGTTGAGGGAGGTCGTCCATAGAGGCATGGTCTGCTTAAAGAATCGGCAGATTTTGGGATCAACATTGTAGATTTCTAGAACTTGCAACAGCCAGCTGTGTGGTATGGAGCCAAACGCTTCTGATAGTCAATATAGCCCATGAAGAGATTTCTTTTGTTATGTCTCCCTTGCTCCAAAACCACCGAGTCTATTACAAGCTGTTCCTTAGAGCCCATTGCCCTGCTTTTGCAACCTCTTTGCTCTTCGTGTAGGATGTTATTGGTGACCAGGTAGGTATATATTTTACTGCTAATGCAGCTTGAAAATATCTTATAAATTGATGGGAGGCAGGAGAGGGTTGATATTGGGAAAGATTATCTGGGTTTTCTGTTTTTGGTAGAAGGTGAGTAATTCCCTCCGTTAGAAAGACGGGCATTTTATTGGGGTCAATCAAAGTTTCAGTAAATTCTCGCGCTAGGTGGTTGTAAGTAGCGGAAAATTTCTTGAGCCAAAAGTTGTGAATTCCGTCACGCCCTGGACTTCTCCAATTAGGTAATTTTTTGATTCCACTTTTAACCTCGCGCAGGGTAATTATTGTGTCTTCCATTCTTACGTTCTGATGTTTTTCACACTCCTGGTTTATCTATGTGGTATTTATTTGATGCTCTCCTTTTGACGACCAGATGTTCCAGTATTGATTTAGTTGGTTTGAGTCTATGACATTTGGATGTTGGGGGTTCTCTTTATTTGCCTTATTGCCAAGGTTGCGGTAGAAGCACCTCTCGTTTTGGGTGAATTGGGCGTTGTACATCCGTCGTAGGTGGCTTCGTTTGTACCGTTTGAGTTTGTCTGTATGTACTGCTAGCTGTTGTTTTAATGAGTCTAGAGTATCGATAACAAAGTCTTTCTGGGTTTGGCCGCTTAGTTGACGGAATCTAGTTGTTATGTCTTCTGATATCTTCTTTAAAAGGGTTTCACTATCGTTTCCTTTAGAAAGCTGTTGCATGCGACCTATGTCTCTACGTAACCTGCTGATTTTGTCAGACATGCTTTTTTTCCAGGGTGGTATAGGTTTCTTATTTCCCTTAGGACGTTGGGCTACATCTTGACCATTTTGTGTAAGACAAGTTAGGGCCGCACAGTATATGTGTACATGTATTTCTTCTAAATTGAAACTGGTTTTCAGTTTATCACATATGATAGCGTTAACTCTCTCGAGGATTGTTATTTTTTGTGCTGTGTATTTTATTTTCGGAAGTGATCTGGTCTGAGGTTGGGATTGGAGCCATAAAACTTAATTAGGTTTGATTCGTATAGATAATCCCATTGGGTTTGTTCGGTCGGTAGTGTAATCTCTGTCGGTAGTGTAGTCTCTGTCTCTGCTTCAGGTATGCTTTCGCTCTGCGGTGGTTGTGGCGGTATGCCAATAGTTGTTTCTGGGTTGATTTCTAGTCTTATTTGTTCCTTGATTCTGGCCAGTGTCTCTTGAGAAAGGAGATTCCTACTTACTATGGTCCTGCGTTGATCTGCGATGCGTTGCTCACTTAAGTGTTTAAGATTTGGGAAAACCTTTATAAATTGTGCATACAATTTGCCACGGTACATTGTAAAGTCCGTCTCCAAGTTAGTAACTTTATAGTACAGTCGCATGATTTCACTGTTTTCGGCGTTGGTCCATTTCTTGCGACGTACCGTTGGGTTCGTACCATCTTCGGTGGGAACAGGTGTGTCCGATTCAGCACTTGAAGATGGAGGATGTCCTATTTCTTGCGTTTGGGTGAGTGTAGATCTCGGGGCAGCATCACACGTCATGCTGGCACCCTCGACAGGCTGTGGATTTGGACGATTTCGAAGGGAACTAGCCCGCTGTCCCCCCTCGCCCTGAGAATATCGTTTATTTCTTGTATTCACCATGTTTACCATAGGTTTGGTTGCATTTTATACCTAACTGCCAGGTTGGGTTTAACCTCTCGCTTTGTGCGGTTGGTATTAAGGAGTTAAACCGGGTTTTATCGACCAAGATTATTAATCCTTCACTAAATATCTTCTAATTATATGACAGGTGCCCAAAATAGCTGCCTTTTGTGCATTCCCGCTAATGAGTTCTTTAGATTCAGCGTTTATAAGTTGTTCATAAATCTTCTTTCAATGAGTCCGTTGCAAGGGACTTCATGATATGATGAACGGTAATATTTGAACTTTCTTCAGTTTGTACACGCATTTTAATTCGTAGCTTAG